CACTGGCGGTGGGAAGCAAAGCGCCACAGCCCCAGCCCGCTCCCCCCCGCCCCCCCCCAGCTGCGGTGCTCCGCTTCCTGCCGCAAGTGAGTGCGGGGAGGTTGGGGAAAGGACGCCCTCCGAACTCACTGGCGGTGGGAAGCAAAGCGCCACAGCCCCAGCCCGCTCCACTTTCCTTGCCCCAGCCCCAGCCGTGTCGTTTGGGGTTGGGGAAAGGTCCCGCACTCACCTGCGGCGGGAAGCGGAGCGCCGCAGCTGGGAGGTGGCAGAGTGGAGCAGCCTGGGGCTGGGCTGCTCCACTTCCGCCGCTGCCAGTGAGTGCGGGGGGGATCCCTTCCCCCAAGCCCCCTCCCCTGAGCAACACGGCTGGGGCCGGGGCGAGGGAAGCGGAGCGGGCTGCTCCCGGCCCCCCACTAATCCCCCGGGCCACTCTGGGACTGTGGGACCCCCAAAAGTGCCCCCCCACAGCTCCTGCCTCCCAGGCCCTGGGGGGGAAGCCCCTGACCGCCCCTGAGACCCTCTGCCCCTTATCCTGCCCCTCGGCCCCAGCCCGGCCCACACCCTTAACATGCTGCTCAGAGCAGTGTGTCAGAGCTTTACCACGTTCTATGCGAACCCGCGTTATATTAGGTCAAGTTATATCGGGATAGAGGTGTATCTTGAATTTGTACCTGTTCTTCATTACAGGCTAATGGCAGAGATTAATATTAACAACATGCTGGTATGTGTACACAAATCAAACCTGCAATTTTCAAGAGAGCCTAAGTGACTTAGTAGCACAGATCCCATTTAAAGTCTACAGAAATTGTGCTCTTAAATCACTTTGAAAATCCCACCCCACAAACCTATAGCTGAATAGTTTTCTAATAGATGGCTAAACATGGTCTCTCTGCACCACTTTCAAAAATAACGTACAGCTTTCCCAACCTGTTCTAATGGAGACAGCTCTATTTTCTTCACAAGAGTTTATGGGAAAAATTATTGCCCCCAACTATGAAATGACTAACTGTGAGGCAGAGACTTCACTCAAACGCTAAAATCAGGGTTGTGTTAATGTTATATGGAGCTCTTTGAAATCTGTAGTCTCAAACTGCATCTGAATGTGAGAGGGACACCTTCAACTTAAAAAACATACTTTTACTTTATAATTGTTTTTAACTTCTACTGTAACAAGTAATATCACTATAATTTAAAGTTGTGGAAGCAGAGTGAGAAACAAATAGTGAGAACTCTGTTTTTCTCCGACAATGTATACATGGAAAACACTCTTTTCTCCCCATTTGTTTACTTTAGTGATTGGAAAACACTGCATATAGTCATTTTCTTTTCTTCTTCTGTATAGTCAGTGACATTCCCATATGTTTTTCCATGCAAAAATATGGAAGATACAAATATTTTAAAAATCAGAAAATATTAATGTAAAAACCTCAAAAATTGGCAGAAGGACACAGGCATAATACCTGAAACGACTTTTAAATTTTTTTTTTAAACTGATTAGACTTCAAGTTGATAGCGTCCCTTTAATTGACTCACAGTTTCTGTATATTACAGCTAGTTCTTGGTTCACACTTTAGTATTTTTCTACACCTCTACCCCAATATAATGTGACTCGATATAACATGAATTCAGATATAACACGGTAAAGCAGTGCTCCGGGGGGGCGGGGCTGCGCACTCCGGTGGATCAAAGCAAGTTCTATATAACACGGTAAGATTTTTTGGCTCCAGAGGACAGTGTTATATCGAGGTAGAGGTGTACTTCTATTTATACTCCTATCAAAACTGCCACGATGGAAAATATTGTTTGTTTACGGACAATAATACAACTGGAAAGGTCACTACACAAAGTGAGGCAAAGAAAATGTTCATGCAATTTACATGATAATTCTCTGAAATTCTTATCTCATTCCAATATTCCTCAGTTAGGAATTAATTTTAATAACTAAAGTGAATATATAAATTAGGTCTACAAACGCCATTCCATTTCAGCTCCATTTAAGACAGAGCCACTTTTCCTACAATGAACCTCTAGAACAACTTTTCTCTCCCTTATAAAAAGGGAGACTAATTTTGAAAAAGGTAATTAGCAGGATTGTCGATTAATCGCAGTTAACTCACGCGATTAAAAAAAATTAATCGCAATTCATCGCAGTTTTAATTGCACTGTTAAACAATAGAATACCTATTGAAATTTATTAAATATTTTGGATGTTTTTCTACATTTTCCTATGTGTTGTATTCTGTGTTGTAATTGAAATCCAAGTGTATATTATTTTTATTACAAATATTTGCACTGTAAAAATGATAAAAGAAATAATATTTTTCAATTCACCTCATACAAGTACTGTAGGGCAATCTCTGTTGTGAAAGTGCAACTTACAAATGTAGATTTTTTTTTGGTTACATAACTGCACTCAAAAACAAAACAATGTAAAACTTCAGAGCCTACAAATCCATGTAGTCCTACTTCTTGTTCAGCCAATCACTAAGACAAACAAGTTTGTTTATATTTACAGGAGATAATGCTGCCCTCTTCTTATTTACAATGTCACCTAAAAGTGAGAACAGGCATTTGCATGGCACTTCTGTAGCCAGCGTTGCAAGGTATTTATGTGCCAGATATGCTAAACATTCGTATGCCCCTTCATGCTTCGGCCACCATTCCAGAGGACATGCTTCCATGCTGATGACACTCATTAAAAAGATAACGTGTTAATTAAATTTGTGACTGAACTTCTTGGGGGAGAATAGTATGTCCCCTGCTCTGTTTTACCCGCATTATACTGTATATTTCATGTTATAGCAGTCTCGGATGATGACCCAGCACGTTGTTCATTTTAAGAACACTTTTACTGCAGATCTGACAAAACACAAAGAAGGTACCAATGTGGGATTTCTACAGATAGCTACAGCACTCAACCCAATGTTTAAGAATCTGAAGTGCCTTCCAAAATCTGAGAGGGACGAGACGTGGAGCATGCTTTCAGAAGTCTCGAAAGAGCAACACTCTGATGCGGAAACTACAGAACCCGAACCACCAAAAAGGAAAATCAACCCTCTGCTGGTGGCATCCATCTCAGATAATTAAAATGAACATGTGTCAGTCCGCACTGCTTTGGATTGTTATCAAGCAGAACCTCTCATCAGCATGGACGCATGTCTCCTAGAATGGTGGTTGAAGCATGAAGTGACATATGAATCTTTAGCACATCTGGCACGTAAATATCTTGCGACACTGGCTACAACAGTGCCATGAGAACGCCTGTCCTCACTTTCAGGTGACATTGTAAACAAGAAGTGGGCAGCATTATCTCCTGCAAATGTAAACAAACTTGTTTGTCTGAGCAATTGGCTGAACAATAGGACTGAGTAGGCTCAAAAGTTTTAAATTTTTATTTTTGAATGCAGTTTTTTTTGTACCTAATTCTAAACTTGTAAGTTCAACTTTCATGATAAAGAGATTGCACTATAGTACTTGTATTAAGTGAACTGAAAAATACTGTTTCGTTTGTTTTTTACAGTGCAAATACTTGTAATAAAAAATAAATAGAAAGTGAGTCCTGTACACTCCTGTATATTCTGTGTTATAATTGAAATCAATATATTTGAAAATGTAGAAAACATCCAAAAATATTGAAATAAATGGGATTCTATTAATAACAATGCGATTAATCAAATGATTAATCGTGATTAATTTTTTAATTGCTTGACAGCCCTAGTAATTATACCTTGCTGAATCAAGGCCTTTAGGTTTGTGTGTAACTTTAAGAATGTGAGCAATTCCATTGACTTATGTATTTTTGGCTCATTTACTTATTTTAATTCTCTCATTTATCATATTGAAGTCAACTGAACAATTCCAATGCTTCAATTTATGCATCTGTTGAAATGAGGCATTAGTTACCAAAATACTGAGAACTGGATTATTCTAATTTAAACACCTTCATTTTTCCTTTAATATTTGACTGCAACATATATGAGGGGAAATTGTCCTTTTGTGCCTAAATTAGCCTGGTATGGTTCCAATGATCAAATAATATTCTGTAATGTTAGATCCTATGTTACATACAGGAATACCAACAAGGAGGAACATTTTCATAAGGCTCTATGGGGATCAAGAACTGGATATTTAAGTGGAAGGTATCAGGTCTACAAAGATGACTCTGTTCTGGAGGAAGGGGAAGAGTTTAAGCCACTTTCTAGTGACTTTTTTCCCATTAAATTCATGTGTATAATTTCTAGCTCCTCGACACTTTAGGACACTCAGGCAGGAGGATGGAGGTCAAACTTAAGGTTTAGACAAACTACAGTATATCCACAGTAATAATTATCCTCTCTTCTGGTAATGGAGCTAATGCCTACCTGTGCAATAGCATATTCTCCCCCTCCCTGCACAGGCTGGTTCTTGGCCATATTACTCTTTTTCACCACTTGAGTGCTCTTGGGTAAATGAGCATTCAAGTGGTGAAATCCACTTACCAGCTGCAAAATCCTCCAGAGTAACACATTCCCCATACTTGCAAGCTGGTGAAAGGAGGGGCAGGTGTCCCTGATCTGATTTGAAAAATTTGGCCCTCCTGTTACAGAAGCACTTGGATGGAATGGAAAGAGAGGCATTTTGTAGCCCATAAAAGAACATAATATAGGGCTGCTGTAAAAATTCAAAGAAAAAAGTCAGAGACAGCCAGAGTCCCAAACATCTTATACTGAGAAAATAAGGAGAAAAACTTTACTCAGGTAGCACTGAAGTATTTGGTAAAAAATTCAAATAAGCTTACTTAGAAAGACTACAGGAAATAGGCATATCTCGACTCCACTCAATTGGTCCATTTTCTGCTTTCTGTACTCCAGATATGGCACCAGAAGGCTTTCCAGTGATTATTTTATACCTATGAGATATTACAAAAATAAATATGCAAACTAAATATGCAATCCTGAATTACTATCTCTTCAAATACAAGTCTAGTAAATGGATCCTCTAATGGGACCTTGTAATGTAAATTAAAAATTCTAAAGCTAGTACAATAATTTAGGCCAATCTGCTGCTCAGTAGGAGTACAATGTTCAGGGCTCATCTCCAGACTGGCAGAGGGTGCTGAAATAATACACTTAATGTTTAATGAAAAGAAACACCTTATGCTGAACTGAAGAAGCCCCTTTGGCTGACTCAGGATTGAGAAAAATTAAGGAGGGGATCCAGGAACTCACTGGAAAAAATAAAAATGTTAAAGTCAGATTTTTATGTCCGTATAGTACAGGCATTTACTGGTTTGAACTTGCAAGGTTCCAGGAAACGTATAGCATAATATTACCAAAAATGTTCATTTGGGAGAAAAGGAATATAGTTTGGGTTCAGCAGAGATTACATTAATATTAAAATAGCTACAGATTGTGGCACAATTTTGTGCATTCACAATTTTTTCCTAACTCTGAACAGAAAATTTAGGAATAAGTGTGAAAGGAGAGAACTCTGTATTAAATTGTATTTAGCTCTAGGAAAAACGTTACTTTACACACGCATGGTGTAGAGATAAGCAAGATTCAAACAGCTAACTGACATCATCTTTCATGCTTCATCTAAACTTTCATTTAAAAATATTAAGCCTCTAACTCCAATTTTATCCCAAATCCCTGTCTGTAAAGGGAGAGGGAATGACAAGATGCATTTCCTCCTCAGCAGCAAAAGACTTTACTGCCTCCTGGATACCAAAAACAGCTCCCATACTTTCTTCAATGCCAGAACTCCCAATTGTCCTCCACCCAATTGGCCAAATTTCTGGCTGTCATTTGACAACACCTAAATGGCAGTTACTTGTTAAAATAGAAGTCTGATGCACTGAAAATGTAAGATCTTAGACACTTCAAAATTAATTGAATGTAACATAAGAAAATTACACAAGGTAGATTTCCAGATTGTACTGGACCACGAGTGCAGCAAAGAAGGCAAGAGGCATCAAAAGGTAGTGTCACAATTTTCTGGAGGCTCTGCTGCATCATTAGGTCTAATGTGCTGCACGAGGTACTAGTCTTGTTAAATATGAAATCTTCCCATGGCACTAGCCTTGCTAAATATGAAATCTGCCCACCGTTTGCATTATTTTTACACTGTTTGCTGTGTGCATGTGCACAGAACACTGGATATAGATATTTTTATTGGTTGAATTCATTTATAAACAGACAGAACTCTCCTTCTAAATTACCCACATCACTTCCTTGTTCCTGCGAGGCCCTTCAAAAGGTCGGAATGGTAAACTCCCTGTTGCTGCATGGTAAAATGTCACTCCTATGCTCCACAGATCAACTGTTGCTCCATACTTCTTCTGATGCTCCTTCCTCAACACTGCTCGCTCATACATATCAGGATGCTTAAGGGGGGAAAAGGGGGAAACTTAGAACTACTTGCTTTGTAAACAATTATAAAGCACCAAAACTCAAGCAAGCAACCACAGCAGGACACACCAGCTTTCTAAGCATTTCTTTCATCAAAACGGGAAGTTAGCATCTGCTGTAGAATTTGCATAAGCTTTTCAAACTACAGGCACTTCAAGAACATACTGCAAAATTGTTCAGCCAGAGCCAGTAGCCGTTTATAGCCACCCTTGTTACAATAAAGTTCCAAATCTAGTAAAGAGAATTTAGCCAAGAAAATTCAGATGAAATTACAGATTAGGAGAGAAAAGCCACACAAAAGGAGAGGAAAAGAAACACTACAAAAACTACTATTTCAGAAAATGCATTAAGAAGAACACAGAGAAAGAGCATTGAGAACATGTATTAGCACACTGGCATGTGAGGGGCATGTAAACAGAAGCAGAGGGGACAACTGTTTTCTGTTTTGCCACAAAAATATACTTACTTTCAAATTTAATATAAGTATTTTAGCTATAATGGCTCCCTTACCTGTCTCTTTTGGAATTAAAATACTCTGACTTTAAAACACTACACTGGAAATTCCAAGTTACAGTGCCCTTGCACACTGCCTGGTCAATACAAATATCAGGAAAGTGGATCTGAGCAATACCCCAGCATCATCCAAACAGTTCACGAGAACACTTAAAAATATCCAGAGAGGGAGAGGCAAGGAAGCTCTAATAAACCTATGCTGCAATTCTTTATATCACACAATGAAACATGGAGAATCTGGGTCAGGAAATGACCTCAATGCACTTGTTCCCCAGATCAGCAGAGGCCTGGCATGACAAAAGATGCAAAAGGTAGGATTGATGTTATAACAGTAACTACTGGACTAGATGTGCCATTGGTAAATTAGTTCCAAATTTATGTCTCTCAGCTATTCAGTTCACTAAGGGCATGTCTACACTACTCGCCGGATTGGTGGGTAGTGATCAATCAGGGATCGATTTATCGCGTCTGTAGACGCGATAAAATCGATCCCCGATTGCTCTGCCGTCAACTCCGGAAGTCCACTGCGGCGAGAGGTGGAAGCAGAGTTGACGGGGGAGTGGCAGCGGTCGACTCACCGCCGTCCTCACGGCCATCGACATTGGATACGCCGTCCTCACGGCCATCGACATTGGATACGCCGATTTCAGCTACGCTATTCGCGTAGCTGAAGTTGCATATCTTAGGTCAACCCTTCCCCCTAGTGTAGACCTAGCCTAAGCAATATCCCATGCTTCAACAAGTCCATCAGTCATGAATTAAATGGCTTACCAAATATTCTTCTGTGCCATAGAGAGAAACAAACTGTTCGTCATCTTCCAACTCTCTAGCAGCTCCAAAATCTGTCAGTTTGTAAACAGACTGACCATCTTCACCTATAACACGCATTATATTCCCTGGTTTGATGTCACGGTGCACTATTCCATTTTCTCTGAGATGATTCATCCCAGCCACTTAAATACAGAGTTGTACAGCATTTAGTACATACGGATCAACACGGACAGGACACATGTTAAAATACCAAAAAAGCATATATACTTTCATAGACTACTGTTTTTCAGTGTGTGCAAAGGAGAAGGGCAAGAACCACTGCTGCTACTAGGATTAGAATATCCTATTGTCTCTATTCTAATCATCTTTGACTTTTCTTCTTCAAACAGCAAATAATGGTATGTCTTGCTCTCAAAAATGCCTTTCCTGAAACCTATTTTCGTCCATTATTTTAGGTAAGAGTTTATAATCCTTAGTGATCTTATTCTCTTCCCAAAGAAATGTCTATAATGTAGGAAACAAGAGATGATGATGGGTTTCGCCATCATCCTTTGGAACACTGAGCAGATAAAGTGGACGTATTTTAATTGCCAGATTTCCTACAGCAATAGGGGGCAGATACTGTTGGACTTGATTACTCCACACAATCTATTCTGTGATGATCTGTCAAGAAGGCAGTCCAGTGTGTGACAAAAAAAATCTTTGCGTTTAAAAAAATCTAATTTTTAGAAAAAAATCATAAATAGTTTTATAATGCAACTACATTTGTTGACATAGATTAAAAGTAATACACCTCTACCCCGATATAACACTGTCCTCGGGAGCCAAAAAATCTTACCGCATTATAGGTGAAACCGCGTTATATCGAACTTGCTTTGATCCGCCAGAATGCGCAGCCCCGCCCTCCCTCCCCCCCAGAGCGCTGCTTTACCATGTTATATCCGAATTCGTGTTATATCGGGTCGCATTATATCAGGGTAGAGGTGTACTATAATCATATGATTTCATCTATATTGTCAAACTAAGAATTTTAACACTCCAATTCCAAACTAAACCAAATAACAGCTGAGCAACAGGGCAAATTACAGTTAAAAAAATTAAATCCCACATACCCACGTCTCTCAGCACAATTAAGAACTCAGACTCTGGCAACCCATAGGCATTAGATGGCTCTTCTAAAACAGTGTATAAGCTCCCACATGGACAAAATTCCATAACAAGTACTTTGTGTCTAGTGGTTGTCTGAAAAATAAAAAATATTAAGATTTGGCAATGATATGAAGACTGTTAATAATGCCAGAGATTACATCAAGTCATAGTCTCCTATTTCCAAAGCTTTGTAACCTGATGCTATTTTATATACAAGTCTCACTCTGATGGCTTTTAAAAAAAAGAAAAGAAAAAAGAAAAACTGGTTCCATTTTAAAATTTATCTTGAGTGTGGAAGAAACTAGGGAGGCCACAAGATTATGGGTGCTAGCCCTTCTTCACCTTTAAAATGGTCCTCTCAGAGTAGCAGGTAGTATAGCAAATGAAAAATGAGGAACTACATTGGGAGAAAAGCCTGGAGCAGAACTTTTACTTCTCTCCTTCGATTACTCCCCCTCCCCAAAGTCTTTACCGACCTCTGCATTTTAGCAATTTTCCTGTGAACCCCTAGCCAGCCTCACTTTGAGAAGTGCTACTTTAATTCATCCCTGGATGCAATTCTACATCTGCTCTATCATTATGTGAACTTTATACAGCAAGATGCCTATCTTCTGACAATCTTGTGGAACACCTGAAATCTTATTTATATTTTTAAAAAGTGAGAGTTTGTGAATAAGCTGCAAAATTATCAAGCAAGAGCAAATCAGACAGTAGTATGCATTCCATATTAATATAAAAATGTACAATAGTGTAATTAAAATCTATTATCTTAAATAATTTCAATTTCAGATTTTATAAATTAGGACAGTATTTGCATAATATGCACATGTGGATGCAGTGGATCAGATTCAGTGCCTGTTGCACTGAACCTGATTGTATGCTAAAGACAGCAAGGCAAGTGTACTGATGTGCTAGGTTGTTAGGAGTCAGTTATGTATTTCAGTAGCAGTATCACCACTCAGCCTCTGCTATCTTTCAATCTGTGGCTCCAGGTCAGGTGAGATTCTCAACAAAAGGAGAGAAGCCAGTAGGAAAAGGCTCCTATATACTTCTTAATAAAAATACAACCTTATCCCATACAGCTGAGTTTACATGAAATACATATGCAGGGATCATGGATGGCATTACTACAAACCACATCAGCTAATTACCTCTTCTTCAATAGCAAACAATTTGACAATGTTCTTGTGATTCAGTTTCTTTAATACTTCAAATTCTCTCATCTGAACATCCACAGGACGAAGGAAGCTTATGTTGTTAAATACTTTGACGGCATATAAATCCCCAGTTTTCTATCAGAAAAATATTCAAATTATTTAAAAAAAATCGAAGTCAAGTACAAAAAAGCCTTAATAATTAACATGTATATAGTATCAGTCTTCCTGAAGGATCCCAGAACACTTTTCAAACTTATATACAATATGATATAATTGCAGCTTTTCTGCAATAATTTATTAATATTGTATGTTCATCTGGTTATTGGAATGTTTACTATATGAATATATTGGTTTAGTTTAATAGGGGACTGTAAGGAAAAACAAGCAGGAAGGAAAAATGGCTCAAGATAAGCTACTTCTTTACAAACACTTGAGGGTTGTTAACAGACAATGCCAGGACACACAAAGAATTGCAAACTTAAGACAATTTGAGAGAGACAAAATACATAATCTCATGACAAAGAACAGCCTCAACTCCCATCTACATTCAGGTAATAAACACCAATTAGGGGATAATTTTTCACAAAGCTGGAAGATGGCGAAATCTGAGGGGTAACTTTAGATTTTAGTATCTGTACAAAGACTAATTGAAAATCTTCTTCTAGAAAATTTGTGTAAGGCCCCAAACCCATAGCCAAGTATGTAGAGGTTTAAAAACTACAATTAATACAGTTCAGAACAACACACTTAAAAATTAGTTCCTGCTTTATGCCCCAATCTTGGGAAAAGTTATTCACACGGATTCAGTGGGGCTAATCATGTAAAAGTGTTTACAGGATTGGGGCTTTATTTATCTGCTGACCTGAATCCTGGGATTTAGCATTTTTTCCTACACCACTGGATAGCCATTACATCTCAAACAGCAGTGCAGCTCCATATGCTTTTACAGTTTGTGATATCCTGAGCTATTTCAGGGGAAAACAAAAGCCCCCCAAAAAACACCTTGGTAGATAAAAATCCTTTCAGTTTTCCTTTAAAATTATAAAACAATTGTTAATAATTTATAGTCAAGAGAAGGTATTAGCAGTTGGGTTATTTTTCTCACAGTTTTTATATATGTTAGTATGACAATTAAAGAAATTAAGACATAATTAAGCACTCTGGACAATGTTAAAAACCAATTTACCCCTGGAAACAAAAACAGTGAGACAGGGATCATGTCTTACTTTGTATTTGTATAGCACTTAGCACAACGGTTACCTGAACCTGACTAGGGCCTTAGTGCACTATCATAATATTAAATAATAATAAATTCAGATATTAGAAAATAAGTTTAGGTAAAGAGAGTCCAAACAGAATATTTGTCTGGAATGAAGATTACCACCACCCCCAAAGGAGTTCAGAAATAACAGTTTCTTTAAAAAGAAAGAGAGAGAGATTTATTTCCAATTTAAAAGGGACATATACGTTTAGTAATTTAGGCCCCAAAAGAGTCTTTTCTACTTGTTTATTTAAACATTTCCCTGCATTGTTGGAAACTCAACAGCACTGTACTTGTGCACAAGAACCAGAAACAGCATTGTGTACTTGTGCATAAGAACCAGAAAATGACTGCTTAATTTCACTGTCCAAACTAGATAAAATGCAAAAGGCATCGAGCAAGCACAGTGAAAAGAATGGTACATTTTACAAACGATTTCAGTATTAATACTAATTGTGTTATTAATAACGATAAAGATATTTAAAAACATGTATCTTACACATACTTTTCCTGATTATTAGGGACATTAAGATAAAATATCATAAAAGTTGTGTTGTTTTCTTACACAAACATATCCAATTAAAAAAAAATCAAAACTTTTCCATAAAAGGCTGATGAACAGATTTCAAGGGCTTTCACATTACAGGTGCCAGATTTAATGATTGTTTTCTTACTGAATCCAGCCTGTGGATTTAGTATATAGGCAGTATTCACCGACTAGCTAGTTTTTCTTTTAATTAATGAAAGAAAAACGACTTCCATGCATTAACAAAGGAAACACGACAAGAAGACTATTTAAGAATTAATACAAGGAACCCTGTTCTTGAAAAAAAAATTTACTATATGGTAACCAGTTTGTTTATTCCACACAAACCTTATGTCGTCCACGAAAAACATTTGCAGTGGCTCCTTGTCCTAGAACGTCAGATAAAAGCCATAGATAATTGGAAGTGCTCTGCATGTTTTCTCTCGATTAGTCGATTCTCTTTTCAAGCTTAAAAATAAAAACATAAATGTTACTGAGTATATTGCACACACAAAAATTAAAAGGAAAATCAATACATTCTTAATGAAACAGAGAAACACTATCCAGAGATTTAAAGAATTAACAGAGGACTTAAAAATCCACCAATTAGAGAGATGGGGAGGCAGGAAGAACGGAAACGAAGGCAAGCTAAATGTTACCAGAAATGAAAATTAACATTTCAGATATAAAATCTGTCACAGAGTTTGAAGTCTTCTTTTTCCCTTCCTCCAATTGAAAGAAACAACTAAAAATCAAATAAAGGTCTGAATAACCATTCTTTTGTCAGCTTCTAAATGTGGCACAAAGAGACCATAAAAGATAGAGGAAAATAATACAAAAGGTTTCAAATAATGTGGGAATTGTGTCTTTCCTTTAAGAGCAACAGAGGGTCCTGTGGCACCTTTAA